GAGCACAGAGTTTGTGTTTCGATATGATTCAATACGAGTGTCTCAAAAACTTTTGGTAAGCTATACAGAAGAACGTAGTCTGGCCTATTCGAATACATTTTGGTTCGTCAGTGCTGCGTTCAAACCGAATACTGGCAGTTCGGTCGTTACAAATAACCTGACATGTTGTCATTATTCTATTGTCATTGTTTTCTTTTTTCTCCTTTTCAAATATAGCAAACATAATGCCAACACTACTGAAACTTGTGTATTATTGCAGTTCTAATGCAAATCGGATTGGTTTCTTCACAACACTCATTCGCCCATATGATATTTGTGAAGAATAATAATCTGTTCTTTTTTTGTGAATTTTTTGCACGCCCAGTATTTTTTTAAAATACTGATATTCTATGCAAAAATATTTTTCTTGAATAATCTTTTTTTCTTATTTCTTATGTAATTACCATTATACGACAACAGAGTGCAGTTCACATTTGATGGTGAATACCTTTGAGATTTCGGAGGGTCGGCAATGAGTAAACATTTAGGACTACTGCTGGTTGGCGCGCTTGCATCATACTTTTAAAATGTGGCCGAAATCTCAGTTGAAAATGTGCACATGTATAAGCAATGAGTGGATGGCATCAAGGTTATTTGTACCAAATGAGATGTAAACTGTTTATGGAATACACTTAACACTTCCAAATCACTGTCATACTCATAAACGATATACAGATCATTAGTTTTGAAAAACACGTATGCAAGTTCTGTTTCAAGTTTGTTCTGGGCGTAAGAATAAGTTCTATGGCGATTTTCTACGAATGTGATACCGAAAGAAAAGCAAAACAAGGGAACAACGCATTCTGAATCAAACTCTCAAAAGTTCTCAGCTATCTTATGTAGAACAGAAAAAGGTATGGTAAATGTCTAGATAAAACCCATACTTGCTCTGATTACAAGAATGAAATTTGACCCAAAATGTCCTCAGATCGAAGAATACAATGATAAAGAACAAGGAGTTGTGATGTTTAGTAAGGCATAATAGGATCAAATGATGCAGAGATAGTAGAAGTTAGGATCAGTAAGGCTATTTAGTAAAAACGAAGGTGAATCAGAAGTGAGTAAAGTTTTAACAAACGTTAATAACTATATCTTTTGTCATGTATAACATTTTATCATCCTTATTTTCTCCATCAAATCCCAGTCACTTGGTTACAATACAAGAGACTGAATTAGCATGTCATGGATTATCTTAATAGAATAGCAAATCCATCATAAATATGATACTTGTAGTGATATTGGTTCCCAACCACACTGTCTTTGAAGCTGAACATATAATTGTTGAGATACTTGCATTCGACAGGCGAACTTAAAAAAAGTTAAAATTGGTGAGTGCGGGAACACAGAATCTCAATGGCAGGCATGGTCACTGTGTAGCCTATCTCTTTCCATACCAAATATGTTATTATATCCCCAGCCTAAATCTTTATTAAGAAGTGCTGAACATTATGTTGCTAACTGGATGATAGGACGAGTCAGTATTGTCGGCGATGTGACTTCCACGTAGGATTTAATAAATTAGGTAATCACGTGACAGATGTATAACTTCGTGATTGGGTCTATTTCTGTAATAGCAAAAATAAATGTGATAATGCTGAACGAAGTCATAATTCTACACACTTTCCTATCATATATTGACCCCTCACGTTTCATTCTGCTACATGAGATATAATGCGTCTTTTCACTACTTATTATAAACGTTGACCATATACTTCTTGATTTATTTTGTAACCAGACAATTTTTTCAAATTGATGCGCAACTTTCTACAGTTAAGCTCCGTAGTGTCCGGTACCATGTGAAGTTTATATGAGTTATTCTAGCTTCCTGGTAGAACAACTTATTTACTCTTCTTAAGTTAAATTCTGACTTTGTCAATTATTCACTTAATAACCTTTGCTGTTTCTATGTGGTGGTATTGTGGTGTGCGCTACTTATGTCGACATAAGTAGTATATGACGTTAGTTATATAGATCCGTTAATTCAAATCGGAGTCAGATCAACAGGCCACCAAGATATTATTAGCTAAATTCGATCAAATAATTTTGCAACGAAAAACCAAAAGTATTGGTCAGAATGCACAAACAAAATGCAATACATTGCCAACAAATCACAACACAATACTGGCTGTAACAAAACTTCATAAGTAGTTTGTCATATCTAGAGCTTAGATTCTTAATATACCGCGCACTAGTTCGGAACTCAAACACTAGGATCCCCTAGGTAGCAAATGAGATGACAGAAGATGTGTGTAGAGGAATATTATTCCAAGCAGTGTCAAATATATTACAAACTCTCAGGTATTTATAGCTTTTAGTAAAAACGAAGCCATTGACATAGTCATCCTATCATCATACAGTGGTTTTTAGCATTTGTCAACTAGGGAAGCTACACATAAAGATTCTAGAATGTTTTTCCAAAAGATAATGGGATGAAATATCTTCGGCACTTTCTGGCTCCTTACAGCTTCCTTGAGTTCACCCATGGGCCATATATAAACGAACAATATTGTTTTCGATTAGACCCTCATCAGGCTAGACTTTGTGACTAAGAAAATATGGCTGCTTCACAATCAGCAATGGCAGCTCAACAAGCAGAATCGGATATGAAAAAGAATTAGACGTCGTCATTACTACCAATATTGTCAACGCCTTAACCAATGGCACATTAGGTAATCGAAACGTAACAACTCAGAGAAATTGGAAGTCAGAAGCGATGAAATATTTAATATGTCGATATGTCAAGAAGTGACCAAGCTGGCTAGCTATTGTAGGGGATGTGAAACACGGCGTAACCCCTAGTGATCTGGTGAGGGTACGTGACCAAGTGCCTTCACCTAGGTGAATTCATTAAAACTAACGCGGTCAGCACCAAATCTCGAAGACTTACAGAGCTATTGAATTTAAGGATTCCTTTACCGCTATAGAATTTGATACAAGGTATCTAATTGTTATCCGAGTGTCGAACTTATTTTCAGGTTAATTTTTAGTGGGATTGTTCTAAGAGATTTATATCCCCTTGAGGTATGAGGAAATAGTATCGAAAATAATTTTTGATAGTTAGGAGACGTCGAATCCTGGGGAGCAGCCGTATTTAAATGTACAGATTTACAAAGAGAGGGTGATTTGGTGGAGCCAAACTATAAACAAAAGTCAATTTGATTGTTGATATATTTTTTTCGATGTTTTGGTATATTTAACGAGAAAGTTGCACGTTTAAATAGAATTATTTTGAGCAGAGTCGAAGAAAAATCAGGAGTGATAAATATATCCATAAAACATGTTAAGAACACGAGCATAGTGATGACGAGGTTAGATTTCAATTTTGTTTTAACGTTCCAATATTTATCTTATAATTCGATTCTCACATGTGGAGAATTCAGAAAGCTTCGCTATCTTCGTGGCTATGGGAATGAAAGTTGACCATTGGGATATTTCTGTCCTTGTTGTTTATTTGGTAGCTCTGCTGTCAACTGGATTATATGTAAGATTTTTGTTTGCCTGGATATTTTTCACGCTTTGAATTCGCTCTTAGATATATAGTAAACGATTTTCAGCGACAGGAAATAATAGGTATTAGGGTAGTGGTCGAAAATCATTGTGTGATTATAAAATCATTTGTGTTCTACTAATAGCGTGTGAGTTTTTAGGTAAGTTTCAAATGACAATAACTCTAAACCTGTCTTCAAGATGACATCTGGTCTTACATTTTATTTGCATTTTATTCATTTTTCTGTCAATTAAAATATAACAACCAAAACATCACTGACATTTGCTCTCGTAAAATTAAGATGCTGGGTTTCTAATTTACGAGTCGGACCAAAGTTTGAGAGAAATATGTATAGAGAATCGGGTTGAGTTTCTGAGATGAAACACCAGTATTCATGCATTTTGCTTTATACAACATGTGGAAAAGTAACCCGCAATCCAAGCTCTCGACTTTGAGAAAGTTGTGGAATTTTCTCCAGATCATCTTGAAATTAATTTTACTGAGCGTCTGGAAATATTTTGAAATAGCCTTAAACCGGCGGAAATTACTGGTTTTTAATCGCATTTTCCTCGAACTTTCCGATTTCGATCCTAGTTTTCATCTCGAAGAAACCCAAACAAGTTCGCTGGATGGAGTGCTGAAATCATTTCAATTTCTGCCGCTAGGATTTTCAAAAATAACGTCTTTTACATACTCGGGGTTAACTTTCTATCAATCTCTTTGTCAAAATATTGACTAACTACAGTGACTGGTTTTCCAACTATACTTTACTAACCTCTCGACTAAAACTGGAGTCGGTGAATAAAGATTTTCATTTTTACGCCCAGCGGTCAGAAATAGTGTTCAAATCAACAAGCCAGCCCATTTGTCTCTCCACCCTTAGGTTTGAAATTTGATCCACCTGCTACAGTTCTTGGATTAAAATATTTTGGAAAATCGTCATAACCCTTACGGAATTTGTGGTTTTAAGCCTAGAACACGAGTCTTTAATTGTTAATTCAGCCGGAATACTTAAAGTTTGAAGATTGATTTTGAAATATGTTTGAGTTTCGGTAGCCATAATAATTTGAGCTGATCTACTTTCTAACTTGTCATAACTACTGGGTTGTTGCATATGCTTAATTATATCACTTAATATTTATCTCTAGTCTCTATTTACTCACCGACGTGGAACTATTACTGACTACTTTCTAGCTGGGCGATTTGTTACGTGGCTTCCGGTAAAACACCTTTGCTTTACATAGTTTTCAGATTGGCGCCTCTCTATTTGCCACTAACGTTGGTAGCGAGCATTTTATCGGATTGGCTGGTTCTGGAGCAGCGTCAGGGATAGCTGTTGGGGCATTCGAATTGAATGTACGATTTTTATTTTTATTTTAATAATGCTTTTAGGCTTCAGTCATACTGCAACTACTGGGTTGGATTTTTCTTCCGGTTTATATTGCTAGTGGAGTAAATTTAACAGATTAGATTAATGCCTATTCAGGTCAGTACTCTCCCTGAATACATGAAAAAGCGTTTTGGTGGAAATCGTATCCAAATGTATCTGGCTGTTATTTCTTTAGTGCTGTACATTTTTACTAAAATTTCCGTGAGTTTCAGTCTTTCTCTTTTCAGGTAGTCAAAAGAGATACACCTGTTTAATTCCCAACAAATTTTGGCTTCATAGAAATACTTGTTTGGTTTTTTCTAAGTGAGGACAAATGTGACATTCACAAGCAATGTCTCCTTAATGTGCATGGTTTAATAACAGATGGTTTAAATCTAAATTGTTTCATTAGTGTACTTATCATGAATGAAAGAAACTTAAACTGATATCTTATGTCAGTAGCGAATTCGGACTTGCACATGCTGCATTATATAATACTTTTGCCAATAACATTGGTTTTGTTAAAGTAGTATTTAACTCGTATATTTTTGCTACTTTTCATTGTCTGGGTTTTTTGGTTTGTTACTAATGAACAGAATATATTCACACTATTTCTCGTACTCTTGAGACTTTGAAACCCAAATCATCCAAAGTTTATACTGAAGTCGAATTTTTTAAACTCAAATATTGGTGTGTGAGTCGGCTAACAACATACATTAGACAATAGGGTTCATCGCCTTCATAGGGCTAAAATATTTGGATACATGGATAAAATCTACTTTTTTGAGGCTAGATGTTGTAAAAATAGTGAACTTAGTTTCATAATAGTGTCTAACGTTTTACAATTGCAGTAGTTATATTAAGTGTCTGTCATTAACGAGTATTTTCATTCGCATTCATTAAAACCTAGGTAAAAGGTTAACATAATCAGTGAGTGAATCTTATTTTGAAGTTATAGCCGATAAAAGATTCCAGGTTTGAAGGTTCGCCATCTTAAATACACGTATATTTTATGCAGTCACTAAAACACTTGAAACTAAATTCACAAACTGTTTTTTAATAAATTTACAGTGATTAGAGGAGCTCCTACAAAACTCAAATGTTAGTCACACTTTAAGAAAATGAGATAAAAAGTTATTCGGAGACGTCTTTGTTTCCTTATGGTTTAATTTTCAGCATGTGCCAGTTTAAGGCGAAAAAGATGAATAGTTACATTATTTTCGTAAAATTACACTTATTTATTCTCAGGTGAACTTATACTCTGGCTCTCTGTTTCTAGCAGAAGCCTTGGAATGGAATACATGGCTTTCAATTATTATACTTCTTAGTATTACAACGCTTATTACAGTAACAGGTTAGTTAATAAAACACAATTTTATAATCAACTTATTACTGGTCTTCTGCATTAGTTATGTATCTTGACACAATATATGTTTTTTTAACGCAAGTAGCTATAATATTTATCTATTTATTTGCTTGACGGTTAGTTATTTCCTGGATTGTCCAGTGTTAAAAAATATGTTTTTGGTTTTCATCTCTAAAAAGTATAAATATACAGATTTCCGGTTAAATTTTGATTACACCCTCATCGTATATGAACACTTGATTGGGGTTCTTCTACTGATTGCCATCAGTCATAAAATATTTTTTCATTCTTCTAGTCCATAATCACATCAGTTTTATGGTTTTGTTGGCTCTCCGTTTCTGATTTATTTGAAAATCTACCACATAATGATATCATATAAACTTTGGCTTACTTCCTGAAATGGTGAATGTTAGAGGATCCTTTTATTCTAAGGAGAGAGTAAAATAAACTTGCTCACCGTAATCTGTAATATTAACTCTGTTGGTGCAGTTTAACAAAATGCTCGATCAGTATACCAATGGGCTCTTGAGAAGCTTACATAGTTGTAGGTTCCTGTCAACGTTATAAAACTGACTTAATTAAGTAGTCACCTGAAGCTTGTTTGGATTTTAGATTATTCATCAAATTTTATAATTTGTGTATTTTTGATTATAAAACTATAAGAATGAAGGTTTTTTCTTTGTAATTATTGAATTCCTTGTTTACAAATGGCGGTTATATAGACCTACTGATTGACTGTGTAACGTTTGTTGTATTACTCAATCGTGTACTAACTTAAAACCTTTTCCTGTGTTGTTTTCCTGTCTTAGGTGGGCTTGCTGCTGTCTTGTACACTGACACCCTTCAGTTTTTCGTCATGATCTTTGGTGCCACTGTGCTAACAATACTAAGTAAGTAAACTGAATTTTTAAAATATTACGACTTTTATGGTATGATGACTTAGTAGTCAAAGCTTTTTGATAGTTTTTAACTTCTCAGTGTTATTTCCTACCATTTTGATAACGTGAACTGATACACTTTGTATAACGTTAACGTAATCCACTCCTTTATAGATTTAGTCGTAGTAAACTCAAGCATACTGGCTGTAAATTTTCCTCTGTCACATTTCGAAGTCTTTAGAACAATAAATATTCGAGGCACCTACAGCTACTTTTTAAAGCATTTTTTTCCAAGTTTACATAGTGATAACTAAAATTCATTACAGGTTTTATCAAAGTTGGCGGTTTTCAAGGACTCCTTGATGCATATGGAGGAGCTATTGCCGAAGTTAACATATCATCTAGGGAAGGCGGAAACCTGTTAAATACAATGATATTGACAGCCAAGGAGAAAAATATAACATCACTACTCCAGTTATCTAATGAACCGACAATTGATTCTCGTTTAAGATGCAGTCTCCCCTCGCGAAAAGCGTTTAAATTATTAAGAGAGATAAATGACCCAGATATGCCATGGCTTGGTTTCTTGCTTGGACAAACTCCTTCTTCTATTTGGTATTGGTGTGCTGATCAGGTATTTGAATAATTTTATCATATATATAACTATTATTATTATTATTAAAAGCTTTCTTGGGTGAAACTCTGGCACTTTTCTTAAAGTTGCATTTGGTACGATTTCATAAATAATGGAAGATGAAAAATTTATTATGAGTATTTACGGGAATAATTTCTGAAGGACAAACAAAGAAAGTGATTGTAGTCTTTGCAATAACGGATACAGAGTTAACCATAACTGTTTTTGAACTTCAACAGTAACTAAATACATATTAAGATAATTTAAGCAACAACACTAGTAGTAGAATTGTATTCAGACAACCTGTAGTTCAGACAAGAAGTTATACACTCAACCCAATGAATCACATGGACTTTAAGTAAGATAACCAATGGAATTAAAATTATGTGCCTTATCGTCATAAGAAGTATAAAGATAGAAGGTTTTGGCTCATAAAGCAATTACAACTAGTCATTAGTCAGCTCCATTATTTCTAATTAATTCAGTGGTTTGGTTTAGATCACTTGCACTTTGACCTTATCGTTTCCTGCTTGTGCAATTCAAACGCTGTTGAGTTGATCATTTTTATTTATATATTTCTGAAAATTTATATCCTTTTGTTTAAAAATCAGAAGTTAGAATCAGTCCTGACTATTGATTTGATCAAAGAAAACACAATGTTTTAAAATTAGACTTAATGAGAGTGTTACTGTATAACACATCTTCAAGCTTCGTATTATTGGAGTAATGATTCACATATTCAAAACTCCCTAAATGCAAAACTCAACGTAAATGAAAAATGCTTATGTTACTAAGTACTTTAAATACAACTAATGGTTGTATAACTTGATAGAAACTCAATAATAAACCCCGTACAGTTAATCTGATAATCATTATTATTTTTTAGCTTAATCTTAGATTACTTTTGAGTATAGTTCAATCAAACATACTAATATCAAGATTAAAAATCCGTAGTAGTTTTAAGGAGCAAAAAGTTGGTTAATATCTATGTTATTCTTAGTTTTATCATCTAAAAGATATCGACTAAGATATAGATGCATAAATTCTGCTTAAGCTCACTAAAAACAACTTCACTAATATAGTTACTGTTTATGGTAATGATTGGAATTTTTTTACTCGTTTCTTAGTTAGTGATCATAACTTTTTAAGCAAGGATGGATAGTGGCTAGCAATGGAATCCAGGACGCGCGTTTCGTCTTATTTGAAACTCGTCAACTGGATGTGTCCCCATCGCAGAGTTGATGTTCACTATAGGACCCAGTATCGTTCTCTTCAAACGCCATCGCGTTATCCACTTGGCTACTGAGTCTTGATGGCCACCTGCAGGTGTAATAAAGTTTTAAATTCATTTGGTGTTGCTTTACTTGTACCTTTCCATTGTTACTTAGGACTGCAATTGATCAGTCTCATGTTGGCATATGTGAATCCTGTGCGGATTGCTTCGATATAGTCTTAAATCAAAAGCTTTTTAAGCAAAGATGGATAGTGGCAGGCAGTGGAATCCAGGACGCACGTTTCGTCCTATAACAATAGGAATATACAAGTAAACAATACCAAGTGAATTTAGTGATCCTAAACATTGAAGAAATTAGCCAAAATAAAACATTGTTTCCCGTCTATTATTGTGAATTACAAATCCACTTGAATACATGCATAAAATGAAAGATTACAACTTATCATAAATGATAAATCTAAAAATATATATTACTAGGGTATTTTGTAGTGAAAATCTAAGCAACAGGTTTGCAAATAATTAACTGTGATTTATGCACAGATTGGAAGAATTAATAAGTAAAGTATAAGTTTACACTTAGGGTAATACAAGGTTGTTATCTTTTACTTTTTTCTGTAAAATGACACATCATCACTGATAATTCAAAGATCATTTTGTTACGTATGAATGTCAGTTGAATAACGATCGATTAACAGGGAAACTTTAGATAGCTTCTTTTAGTTATTTGATTTTCGCTACCAGTCTATTCCACTTTTACAGTATGTGGGTTGGATTTCTATAACCGAATCTCCAACCTTAATCATCTTATAATTTAGTATGACCTGTTTTCTTTTAACTTTGGATTTGTTGTTGTTGACGAAAAGCTACTGAATGTTTATAGGAAGTAAAATCTGTTAGAATCTTGTATAGATATTTTCAAGTTGCTGTGGCACTGGTTTTCTCAATAATCCACACCAGCTTCGAAGAACTAGAAATTAATTGACTATTAGAAGCTAAGGAAATTTGTGTACATTAAGATTATGGTGCATCCTAATTATTTTAATGAAATTCGCTTTGAAATTAAAGAAGTTCCCTAACCATCAACCATCAACCGATTAATTTACTACAAAAGTTCGGTCAAGATGTTCATGTTGAATCATTTTGGTTTTAATCCAATAGACAAAAACTCTGACAATTTCATCACTTCATTCCACTTCTCATTTGCTATTCACACCATGTTTGATTTTTGTTTGTTCGCATTTATATGAATGTAATAATTGACTAGGCTTCTCTTACGATCTTTTACTGTTCAAAGTAAAACATTTTAAAATTATCAGAAGGGTTCTTTTGTGGATATTATGGTAATTTTAATAGTTAAGATCATGCGTCAGTTGAAGTTAGACCAACATGGAAAACCTGGAAGCACTGGACGGCCGTTTCGGCCTATTGTGGGACTCCTCAGCAGTGCGCGTCCACGATCCCGTCTCGCAAGACTCGAACCCAGGACCTATCAGTCGTGCGCGCGAGCACTTAACCATTAGACCAGTGAGATGGGCGGCATCCAACGGTGTTAATGTCTAAATGCAACTAATCTACGGAATTGAGCGACACATCCACCATTGTTTTCAGTGAGTTACTGTCTCACGACAGACTTAGTTGAACTCCACTGGTCAGCGCTCGCGCGAGAGACCGATAGGTCCTGGTTTCGAATCTCGCGAGGTGGGACCGTGGATGCGCATGTTGAGGAGTCCCACAGTGAGATGAAACGGTCGTCCAGTGCTTCCAGATTGTCCATGTTGGTCTAGCTTCAATTGACTCATGATCTCAACTATTAAAATTTTAAGTTTAATAAGCTCCTATACATTAATTTCCACTGTGTATTAATATTTACGCATAGCACAATGTGAAGATAACTTTTAGAATTCTGTATATTGTAAAGGTCTATAAAAGATTTGGGAATGATGAAATATACTAGTCTTAAACTCTCTCTCTTTCTCTCTGTGTGACTTGACGATCATGGTTTTTGCATTGATATTCACTTTATTAAGTTTAAAGAACAAAGCATGAAAATTGTTATCATATTCGCATATATATTGCTGTTATCCCCAATGTTAATGTCTACTACGTTTTATGGCTGAAAGTACCATAGTGTTGAAATAGTTAGAAGATAGACTGTACAACATTAGGTGAATTTCAATTTTATTACAAATATTCCGTTCCCCCTCATGATATTATTTTAGTTACCAATTATAGTACCCTATCAAATTAATGTTGGAGTGTTAACTAAGAGTATCTGTTGATCAAAAATATTTCAAATAGTTCCCTTGTTTGTACATTCGTCGTAATAACATTTTTTTGGTATAATCTATTCACATTTTAGATGATGGTTCAACGTACACTGGCAGCAAAAAGTTTGTCACATGCCCAAGGTGCAACATTAATGACTGGGATAATAAAACAAATCCCAATTTTTATTATGGTTATTCCAGGAATGATAAGTCGTGTATTATATCCAAGTAAGAAAATATATTCATCTATCATAAATTTGTCAGTAAAAAAATGATCATGGTTAACTTTGCTGATATTTTTCTCAAAATTATATTTAGAATAAGGAGGTATCATTTTGATCATGTAACTCAAGTAAGCGTTTTTTAGCTAGTTAGTTTTCTAAGGGATGGGGACGCTAACCCCATGCCCAACCCTCCTCCTTTACCCGGGCTTGGGACCAGCAGTAACTCTGGAAGAGCTACAGGCGAAGGACAGTATTCCTACAGTTGAAGAACATATGGAACTCAAAGCAAATGTTCGCAAGCCAATATCAAAGTCAGAATCTTCAATACGAACGTCAAGATAGTTCTACTGTACGGAACTGGAACTTCGAGAACTACTACAACCATCATCAAGAAGGTGCAAGTATTTATAAATAGCTGTCTACGCAAGATACTCAACATCCATTGGCCAGATACCATCAGCAAAAGCCTTTTGTGGGAGAGAACAAACCAGCTTCCAACTGAGGAGGAAATTAGGAAAAGACGATAGAAATGGATAGGACATACACTACGCAAATCGTCAAACTGCATCACGAGACAAGCCCTAACTTGGAATCCTGAAGGAAGGCGGAAAAGAGGAAGGTCAAAGAACACATTACGTCGCGAAATAAAAGCAGATACGGAAAGGATGAATAACAACTGGAAGGAGCTTGAAAGTATTGACCAGGATAGGGTTGGATGACGAATGGTAGTGAGCGCCCTATGTTCCTTCATGAGGAGTAACAGGCGTAAGTAAGTAACTCAAATAAAATAAACACTTAGCGTGATCATCAAGTATTTACTGGATAGTTGACACCACATAAACATTTTCATAATCATTACCTTCATGTTTCTTCAATATGATATATAAATGTAGAAGCATAGAGTAATCAATCTCTTTCACTGTTCTCGGGTACAATAATTGTTTTAATAGTTTTATTTTACTAATTTGTTGTTTCTTTTTAAATACCACCAATGAAGGTGCATCAATTTTATATTCTCCATTGCTATCATAAATCTAAACTATTTTTTTATATCATAAGAATCCTTTATATTAGTCAGTCAGTCACAATGTAGAACTTCGTACGTACGTACATCAGTTCAAGTTAGTATGCCACATTAACATAGACATGCAGTTGTCGATTCAAATCCTATAGTAGTAGAGGTAGTAAAAGTATAATCAGTAATCAGAAACATTAGGATTTGAAAATGTTATTCAAGCAGTATAATCCAGTGAAATAAATTTGGAAAGAGAAAAAATAAAGGACATTAAGAATTCAGAAGATTAGAATTTGGCAGAACACAAAGAGTGGATGCACCTGCGCAATTGAAAACGAACTTGAACCATGTCATTCAAGGTCTCTAACCACCAGTTGCTATCGTCTTGCGGATCCCGACCAGGTAGTCTGCACCTACCAACATGACTTAGTCCACTTGTCAGTGACTTGATGAATTTGTGCCATGTGTTGGTGTGACCGCCTCTAGCTTTCTTCCAACCTACTCCTATACCACTGAACATCTCACGTCGAGGCAGTCGTTAGTTGGGCATACGTAACACATGTCGCAGCCATCTCAAATGATGAAGTTTCACTACGTCATCAATGGATTTGCCATCCTTACCTAGTACCCGTTTCCTAACAACTGCGTTACTTACTCGATGGTCCCAGGATATACAAGCAATGTTTCGAAGACACCTATGATCAAATACTAGTAACCTACGGATATCCTCTACTCTTACTGGCCATATTTCACTGCCATGAAGTAGGACGGAACGAACTGCTGTGCAGTAAACACGTCGTTTGGTTGATAGATGGATATCTCGCCTACGCCATAAATGACACAAGCTGGTAAAAGCTAGTCGAGCCTTCTGTATCTGTGCTGAGATCCTTTATATAAAGTAGATTCATTTCATTCTTAGAATCTCATCGTCTTAGTATTTTTAAAATTATCTAAAAAATAAGATGCACCTTAAGTATTAACAAGTAAACTTAGGAAAGTACATTCAGATGAAATAAATTATTTCTGTGATATAATATTAAATATATGATGAGATTATAATTTATGGACAGCCTTTGAGTGACTCTAAAGTGACCTTGAAAATGGACACCTACTAATTAGGATTAAATTAGGGTTATAAACCAGTTGCAATTAGGTTTAAAGTTTACATCACGAACTGACATCAGTTATAATGCCAAAACGCTATTTAGCTAAATGGATGAATGAATTTCGCGCTAAAATTCAAGATTCTTTATCTTGTATCTGATTGATTCGTTCATAAATTATAGTCTCGCCAAATTTACTTAATGAAACTCAGTTAGTTCTAGATCCACATGCATCCCATGCTATATGTTCTTATGTTAGATGGTTAAAGGTAGTCAACAAAAAACCCTGAACCTAGTTTTTACACTCATCAGTAAGGTGTAACTGCGATCCTGAGGAAGCTGATGCTCTCTGGTAGACCCGGGCTCGCATCACCCATCTTCATAGTCTATGGTGTCATCGCTGAGTTGTTCAAGGTGTAACTAATTTTCTGTACTAGTGAAATATTTACGATTGGTTGATCATTGAGTAGTGACTAACGCCATGTTTATCTCATCATTTAGATCACTCATTATCACACTGAGGAGCGCCAAATAGCATGAAAAGTAGGTCCGGATTTTTATGTCGACTACTTGTAGCCACCCGACAGTTTATATTTATAATAAGTAAATCATGCCTTTAAAAAAGGAGGCTAGTAATACTTTAGTGTTTCAAGCTTTTCAACATTTGACTTGAATGTCTAGCCTGTGTTATCTTTAATCTGTTCTTTAAAAGTTTTCACCTTTACAAATAGTATGTTTCTCGTTTTCGTTTTGTGAAGCGTGAACGATAACACTAGAAAGTTCACAAAATTTCAGACAACTCTAGTTTGTGTACTGAGCTTTGAAACACTTTGATTATGAATTAGCTATGAAAATTGTCCAACAGTCCAAACTGGAACAAATTCGTTATGATTGACAGTTTGATAGTCTATTTTTTAAAGTACAAATTCATGTTTCAATCTGTTAATAACTAGCACCTTATACAACGATTTTTATTAAGAAGTAGTAAGTTGTTATGAAATTGTAAATCACTTCTTTCCTGCAAATTAATGCCATTTAAATTTATTTTTTTTCTAGATGAGATTGGTTGCTTCCCTGGTTCTGATTGCCTTAAAATTTGTGGACATCGTAATGGTTGTTCAAATATGGCATATCCAAAACTTGTGATTGATCTAATGCCTTCTGGTACGTTACCTTCACGATTGTGTACAAATGAAATGTAATTTTCTCTGTGAACTAATTAATTACTACTTTATTATCATGATTTCATTCCTTTTATATAAGGTTTAGTTGAAGAATGATTTCGAAACTCAGAAAAGGGAAGATTGAATACTATTATAAACTGAATTTTACGAATTCTGTTAACACACAGGCTTGTTCGAATGATGCAGTGATATTGCCTATGATATTAATTTTAATTGATACTAATTGATAGTCGACTTCTGAATTGTTTGAAAATTGAAGTGATAGTTACTGAATTAAGGTCTAGGTGTAAACAAAAAGCATTGGACAGTAACTATATTTAATTGATAAATTCAAACTATGAAGAAATAAGTACACTGAATTACAGCATTACTTTTGTAAACTTTTTCTGATGCTAGAGGTCATTAACGTTTGTCTATCTTTTTTATTTAATATAGAAATCTAAAAATTACATTTAGGTATTGTTTTTTTCTTTAATTGAAATCTTTTTGTATATTTTAACGTTTCTGAATGTTCAACTGATTTATGTTTACGAATGTTAATTCTTACCTGGTACTTCAGTAATATGTGAGTTTTTAGTTAGATGCAAAGTGGAACCTGGGACGTATGTAAATCGGTCCAAGTTACCAAAACAAGTTAGCAGAGTGAAACGAATTGATCAAACTAGATCCAAAAGTAGTAGAAAATATTAGATATAGTAAGTCAAAAATAATCATGGGAAGGTTCCGGGTTAGTTAGCTGTAAGTAAGGATAGAATTGTTTAAAATACAATCGTTGAGATTATTTGAAATATAAATTTCACAAATAATGATTTCTATGAATGGTTAATGTGTTATGGAGTTATCAACCTGGATTATTATTGGAAATTTCTATATCATGTCAAAAAACATATTCGTGTCGAGAACTACACCTACTTACTTACTTGCGCCCTTTACCTCTCATGGAGGAGCATAAGCCGCCCACCAGCAATCTCCGTTCAACCCTGTCTTGAACAATCCTTTCCAGTTCTTTCCAATTGTTATTCATCTCAACGAATTGTGTTCTTTGGCCTTCCTGTTTTCCTCTTGCCTTCAGGATTCCAAGTAAGCGCTTGCCTTGTGATGCAGTTTGGTGATTTCCGCAATGTATGTCATACCCACTTCCAACGTCTTTTTTTAATCTCCTCTTCAGCTGGAAGCTGGTTTGTCCTCTCCCACTGAAGGCTGTTGCTGATGTTATCCAGCCGGTGGATGTTGAGTATCTTGCGTAGGCAATCATTTATAAATACTTGAACATTCTTGATGATAGTTGTAGTAGTTCTCGAAGTTCCAGTTCCGTACAGTAGAACTATCTTGACGTTCGTATTGAAGATTCTGACTTTGATGTTGGCTTGCGAACATTTGCTTTGGGTTCCATTTGTTCTTCAACTGTAGGAATGATGTCCTTGTTTTGCCAATCCTTGCCTTTACATCTGCATCGGATCCTCCTTGTTCATCGATGATGCTTCCCAGGCACGTGGAAGATTCCACACCTTCCTGAGCTTCTCCATAAAGTGTGATTGGGTTGGTGTTCTCGGTGTTGTATTTGAGGATGTTGCTTTTCCTTTGTGTATGTTGAGGTCTACTGATATAGAGTTTATTGCTACACTAATTATCTTCATCTGTATTTATTGATGTGTATGGGATAGGAGGGCTAGGCCATCTGCGAAGTCCAAATCATCTAGTTGATTCTGAGCTTTCCATTGTATTCCCTGCTTTCCATTAGATGTGGAGGTCTTCATAATCCAGTCAACCATCAGAAGAAAGAGAAAGGGGGGAGTAGACAGCCTTGTTTGACTCCAGTCCTTATTTGAAATGCATCTGTCAGCTATCCTCCATGCAGGACTTTGTACTATTGTCCGTGTTATGAGTTCCAGATGATGTTAACAATCTTCTCAGGAACTCTTCTAGAGTTACAGCCGATCCCAAGCCCGAGTAGATGTGAAGATTCGGGCATGAGGTCGGCAACCCCATCCCGTAGAAAAAATCTTGCTAAAAAGAACGCCAACCAGAATAAACAAATTAATTTAAACTATACCTAAACGAAATTAATATATTCTTTGCCATTGATAGGAGTCGTCTAATTTGTTAAATGAAATTTTACAATCTGAATGTTGATCTATCAAGTTTAAATCTTATTCTTGATTGTAAGCACACAAAATCTTCAATTTTGCACTTCCGAAAATATTCCTTCTTTAAATGTTTGGAGGTTGTCATCTAAACACTTAAAAAATTGCGAATTAAATTACGCTTGTGAACTGTAAACACATAAAACGCTAATTTACTTTTCTAATTACATGAAAGAGATGTCAGTACTTTCAGGGGTTGACCTCTTTGTAGAAAAATTTTGATAAGTTTTAATGTTTATCATGAGTGTTCCCTTCTTTGATCTTTTCCTGAAATGTCTTTTTGAATATTTCACTTCCCGCAACAATAATAACTAGGTCTCAGAGGTTTAATGTTGACTGTAATGCTCGCAGCTTTAATTTCTGATCTGACATCAATTTTTAATTCTGCAAGTACGTTATTTACAGTGGATATATATCAAAAGTGGCGACGAAATCCTCAAAATATTGAATTGATGATTGTGGGTCGGTGAGTTATTAATATGATAGTATTTATTTTGTAAAATGTTTTTGTAACGTTACTTGTTCAGTGAAAATAAAACTAAATATCCTAGTCACTGACACAAAGTATTCAATAAGTGTCAGAATGGGTTTTGTGGATATTATAGTAATTTTATTGTTGAATTCATGAGTCAATTGAAGCTAGACCAACATGGAAAACCTGGAAGCACTGGACGGCCGTTTCTTCCTATTGTGTGACTCCTCAGCAGTGATCGGTGGAGTTCAACTGGGTCTGTTATGAGATAGAAACTCACTGATAACAATGGTGGATGTGTCGCTCAATTTCATAGATTAGTTGCAGTTAGACATTAACACCGTTGGACGCCGGCTCAGAGGTCTGATGGCCAGGTGCTCGCGCGCGAGACTGATAGGTCCTGGTTTGGAATCTGGTGAGGCGGGATCGTGGATGTGCACTGCTGAGGAGTCACACAGTGAAACGAAACGGCCGTCCAGTGAGGTTAGGGTCACTACCTAACAATTGTTAGCTTCAAATAATCCACTTAATATTGTTCAAAGCTATGATTGTAGTCTCTTTCAACCTTTTCAAATCCTTACGTGGTTTTTTCGACTGTCTAAACACGAAAAAAGTAGACCACAGTGTATCCAGTAGTTAGAAAAGTTTAAGAAATGCTTTGCTTTGTTTTAAGGTTTCCAATGATGAAGGTTTGGGTTGGGACGTTAAAAAACATCGTTCCATTCATCAACAGCTGATCTCAATGACAAATACTTTGGCCCACCCGGAAATTCCTGAAACTTTAATATTTGAATTTAAAAAAACAATGGCCTTCAAACACTGACACTCTATATAAATATTGGTATAGATACAGAGCTCGTTAACGTATTCATCATTGTCTGGTTGCGGGAATTATTAAATACTAAAACCTTGATAATCTAAAGGTTTTGTTCATCTTTACAAATGAGAAAAAGTGATAATGACGTTTGGAAAAAGTTGAAAAATCTCGTCTATGGCTTTACGAGATTTTGAGTGAGCATGTTCCATTTCAGAAGGTTTTGAACATTGATATTCAGGTCTAATCATCTCATACTTAATGTAAAATATCACGAATTCGATTGTACACCATACCATGCAATTTCATTTAATAATTTATTTAACTATTTATTTACGGTTTATTGTATATTTAACTTTTACGTACGTATTTATTTACTTTAAGTGTGTTTATCGCAGTATTAGTCGGGTTAAGTGTTGCATGGATTCCAATAATGCAACAGTCTCAAGGAAGTGAACTGTATATTTATATTCAAGCGATTGCTGCCTACTTTTCACCTCCTATAGCATCGGTATTTTTATGCGCTATATTATGGAAACGGTGTAGTGAAAAGGCAAGTTGTATATTTTACAGTTCATTATTGTTGTTTGATTCATTTAACTAGGAAACTAACCGTATGAAAGATGTTGTGCGGTAATTTTCGCATAAATGATTCGACATGATAGATGATTTAAAACACTTTTTTTCTCTCACAGGAATACTACGATAATACGTTAATGCAATAATGAGACTAGTCACGTTATATCAGAACCAGGATTCCCGACCCGGAATAGAGAACTAGAGTATAGACTAGACAATACTTTATTCAACACAAATACAAGCAGTCAATCTCAATGAGTTCGGAGTAGAAATCAATCAGATGAAGAGAAATCATATATTTAATAGTCAGTGGGATGTGCCTATTTGTCCATTCTATACAATAATTCATATTTTACTTTCACTATCATATAGCAATGTTCTAGAAAACTTTACGTTTGTCCTACATATTGTGTACTGATTGTGGTGAAGTATTGCTGAAAGAGGGTATTAAGTGATACAAGTTAGGACATCTAAATGATCATGATTATCATCTATCTAGTCAACAGATTAATGTAAACAAGCTCAAGCATTCATTTAATTCATTCTTGTTTATCTCTAATTCTTCTACACTGAATACTATGAGTCATAAAGGTGCTTTAAGCGGTTTACTGGTTAGTTTTTTTAGTCGCTGTTAGATAAATATCAACCACCATTCGCGACCCCTTGAATACAGACATTTCATGTATAGATGTGTATAATGATTAGAGAAGCGGACGCAACTTTTCCAACCCTAAGGTTTTAGTCACTCAGTCGACAGCAAAATAGGTTTAGCTTATGGAATAGTAAGGCAAACTGTACAACAATACTGAGGTGCATGGTGGCGCAACTTCGTGGATTGGTTGAAGTTAGACATTAACACCGTTGGATGCCGGCTCAGTGGTCCAGTTGGTTAAGCGCCTGGCACGAGACTGAAAGGCCCTGGGTTCGAATCCCACGGGGGGCGGGATCGTGGGTGCGCGCTGCTGAGGAGTCCCACACTAGGACGAAACGGCTGTCCAGTGCTTCCAGGTTTTCCATGTTGGTCTAGCTTCAATTGACTCATAATTTCAACCAGTGAAATTTCTAAAAATCTCCACAAAACCCATTCTGATATTATTATGAGCTTTTGTGTTTGTCGCTTTTCTTCATATCGGTCAATTGGACTATTAACTGGCCCATAAATTGTTTTCTTCCTTACCTTTTGATTAGTATGTTATTTATTCCCGAATCCATTTTTGTGATGCAAAATGTTTTCTATCCTCCTATAAACTTATGTATCATCCATATAACGAATGTACTGCTTAAGTAAATGATTTCGTCGAAAAGAAAATTTCCTTCGCTGAATTCTCTTTTTCTTATTCAATGATACTATGGGTCGTTTTGATTATTTTATCACGTACTAACGTTACTTGGCAAACCACTGGAAATTAAGAAGCAGTAGACAGTTTTGAAGTCTTTGTTTGGGACTTCTAAACTGTTAACAGTTCAAAGCCTCTAAGTTTAATAGCGAGCGACTTATCACTAAGTTGTTAGGTTAGAAACTAATTATCTAAATTTTACAAGTAAACTTGGTTCAAAATATAATACTGATCGGCGGCCTATGCTTCATTGAGAGTAACAGGAGTAAGTAGGTAAGTTAGTAAACCATCCGATCTAATCAGTGATCTCATTTGACTGGTAAAAAATGAGTGTCCAGTTGAATGCTTTCATGTTACTTTCATGTTTCACAAATGAAAGACTTTTTCTTTGTTCACATTTACTTCTTAAAGGGCGCTTTTTTCGGTCTAATTTATGGATTTATTATCGGTTTTATTCGAATGATTCTAACGTTTGTGTACACTGATCCAATCTGTGGTGAAGACGATACACGACCATGGATCATTAAAAACATTCACTATATGTACTTTGCTATGTTTTCATTTGGATCTACAATAATTTTAGTTGTGATAGTTTCATTCTTTAGTTCATCACCAATACTGAGTCAATTACATCGGTTAACTTATTGGACAGCTTGGGATTCAAGCAAGGAAGACTTTGATGATCAAATGAATCATTCATCCCTTTCCATCAACTCTCAGTTACACACTGACAATAATGTTATAACTGTACAGGAAAATGAGTCTAAATCTGATTATCTATCAGAATTGGGTGAGTCTAAATAGATGCGTTTTTATTTTAACTAGAGTAGTCTGTTGTTGGTGACGGTTTCAACTTATTTTTCATATACTGATACATAACCAAATATTACACCGTATATCTATCCTGTTTTAGAAATCAACAACTGGGAAGCCAGAAGGACAAAATCTAATTAGGTTTTTGTCATTATTATCCACTAATGCATAGGATGACAATGTAATACCAATCAGCTGGTAGTGTTGTATAAGTCTATTAACCCCCAAACGCCCTGGTACGGGCGAGAGTGGGGAGAGTCAGCTCTCTCTTTCGAAATGCTCTCACATGGCCACGTGCATAAAATCACTGTCAAAGAAGTCCTACTCACTGCCTTCTGGCAGCATTACTGTTGGTTACGAAACTGAGAGAACGAAATGCGAATGCCAGACACTTTAACCGGGTTGATAAATATTGAGGATCCACCTAGAGGCGTTGGAAATTCCCGATTCCAAACCAACGACGCACATGGGCTCCATGATTTTGAAGGAACAAATGGCGTGTTAACCAATTGTTGGTCACCGTCTACCATAGGACTGCATCTCCTGACGTTGCCTCAATTCATTATGGATCAGACCTTTAAGTCAAAGGCTCCGGGTGTGGCCCCCTCAGAAAACTACCTGCTTCTGTTTGGGCACCCAGGTAGTATCCTAGCCCTCACATAAATCGAATGATTAATGTGGCGCATATCTATTTGGTGCCTCTTTGTACCAATGTTTATATGTTTAAATAGATAAATAAATAGAATTAGAACTTCACAAGTAGCAGTGAAATTAATGTCAAACGGGTAATCAAGCAGATAAAAAAGATAATATTAGTGATTATAATAAGAAGTTAATTACTTATAGGTGGATTGAAGTGTGTGTTTCAAGTGTCTAGAGATTACAGAATCTCTAATAACACTATTGGCAGGGATTCTAGGTACCATGTTGTTATATTACACAAGAGTCAAAAAAATACTATTAATAAAGTAATAAGGCAAAAATTAAAAGAGACTTATGAGGAAATGGAAATAAGAAGTTTTGTTTTCACCCACTGCAATAAAGCCCATTATCAGTGGTCAAGGTAGGAAGAGTTGCTATACAAATTTATTTTCTACATAAAAGTTTAATTTGTGGATATGGATGCTAAGAGCTTCGACAGTATGCCACGTTTCATAACCATGAAGCAGAGCAGATCGAGCTGCTGAGAAGCATACTTGTTGTATGGTTGATAGACGTGCATCTCACCTACTCCAGAAGTGACGTAAGTTGCCAAAAACCAGTTGAGGTTTCTGAATCCATGACGTGGTTTAGTCAGACACCAATCCATCAAATATGCTAGCATCGTTGTTCAAGATGATTAAAAGACTGCATTTTGTCAGTGTTTTTTGCCAAAGAGGAATACTTTATTTGTGCATTCAAAGTCAATAGGCGAATCTCGTGGATGTAGATCGATTCCTGAAAAATCATACCATGATGGAGTTATTTTTAGAAGGATTTCTATTACAAAGTTAAGTAAAATTGGAGAAAGCGGATAACTGATGAAATCAACTAGAAGTTGATAATTTTAGTGAGACTTCTCCATAAAATTTAACTCGACTACTAATGTTGGAATAAAAAGCATTTACGAGGTTGATATACGTGTTTGATTAGGCTTTCAGCGACAGTTAATGTCTTGAAAACGTGTTGATCAATAGAGCTGAATCCTACCTTAAGGTCAAGAAATACAAATACAGTTGGGCATCAGTAGGTATGTCTTCATTTCATCACCTGACGAATGATGAGTATGTAGTTCATGAATACACGTCCAGGATTAGAACCAGTCTTTTCCGTTCTGCTTTTCTGTTTATTCACACTAGCCAAGCGTCAGATGACTATTAAAGCTAATATTTTAGACAGTGTGTCAGTCAAACTGGTTCTCCTGTGGTTATGAAAAGAGGATATCTGTTCTTACTTGTAAACTGAGACAATCGGAGGTGGTGACCGGTCAGATGTGATTAGATCCAGCTCCCAAACTCTAGTTAGTGTCTCAATCAATCTAATTGATTAAATAGTTGAGATCCTGAGTCAGTTGAAACTAGACCATCATGGAAAATCTGGAATTAGTGGACGACCGTTTTGTTCTATCGTGGGACTACTCAACAGTGCGCATCCACGATCCCGCCTCGCGAGGTTCTAAGCCAAAACTTATTGGTCTCTCCCGCGAACGCTTAAACTCTAGAACACTGAGACGGCCGGGATCCAACAGTGTTAATGTCTAACTCCAACTAATCTACGAAATTGAGCGACACATCCACCATTGTCATCAGTGTGTTCCTATCTCACAACAGACCCAGTTGAACTCCACTGGTCACTGCTTCTCACTAGAACTCCAGGATATACATCTTGAAGCCATTCACTAGTAAGCATATGTTGATTAGTATCAGAAGGAGTTTTGTGGCTCAGTGGTCTAGTGGTTAAGTGCTCGCGCGCGAGGCTGATAATTCCTGGGTTCGGATCCCACGAGCGGGATCGTGGATGAACACTGTTGAGGAGTCCCACAATAGGACGAAACGGTCGTTGAGTGCTTCCAGGTTCTCCATGTTGGTCTAGCTTCAATTGACTCATGATTTCAACTACTGAAATTACTACAATCTCTACAAAACCCCTTCTGATACTAATTACTTAAACTGGACGACCATACTTAGAGATCACTGAGGTTAATCTAATATACACTTCTACTTTCCGCTGCTTTGGATTAGCCATAAGTTCTCGAATTTGATTAAAAATCAAGGTAGGGGTTATTTGAATCTTCCACTCTGGTTGTTTAAAAATATTGAGTATTTAGTAGGTAGATTCTGTGAATATGCTAACAACATAATAAGGGATACGTCTATATAGAAACTCACCTATATATATTCATGTTTACTGAATTATAGTTTTCCGTAGTTGTTTATTTTGGACATTCATCTTATATTCAATCTATTAAAGTATTTATTTCAGACTACTTTTGTATGCCAACTAGAAATGAACTTTCAATCAATAATCTACATTTCACAGTGTTTTGTGATTATTATTATTATTATTAGGTATGTAGAATATGTAAATCTATTGCCTATTGTGTGATAATGATCATATGAAAGTGACCTCTTTGTCATAAACTGAAAATACCAATCATACATAACTAAAAAAAAACCAATATTTAAGACTAAACTTTGTTTGTTTGTTTGTTTCAGTATGATCTTTTATTTAGTCTGAGTGTATAAGTCATCGTACGATAGGTAGATATTATTATATATTGTTACTATGAAAGTAGGGTCTGGTAATTAGAAAAATCAAGTTTTTCTTTTATCTACGGTATCTGTAGAAAAGTATGATAAGAGTTTGAGAAATGATAAACAACTTTTAAAATAGTTGTAATGTTATTATGATGTCTTAAGATTTTACTTTGTGAAAGTGTACAAAGATGTCCTATGGTTGGGAATTAAATACAGTATTCATACTGTAGGATTCTAGAGAATATGAGTAAATATTGACTTGTTGAGAGAATTTGTTTCTCCACGAATAACATAATAAGGTTAAAATAGTACGAAATAGATGGTGTTTGTAGTCATTACTTTACTTACTTACGCCTGTTACTCCTAATGTAGCATAGGCCGCCGACCAGCATTCTCCTACCCACTCTGTCTTGGGCCTTCTTTTCTAGTTCCATCCAATTCTTGTTCATTTTTCTCATGCCTATTTCCATTTCCCGGCGTAATGTCTATGGTCTTCCTCTTTTCCTTTGGCCTTGACGATTTTAAGTGAGGGCTTACCTTGTAACGCACTTGGGTGCTTTCCTCAATGTGTGTCCTATCCAATTCCAGCGCTTCTTTATGATTTCTTCCTCCGCTATGATCTGGTTTGTTCTTTCCCACAGTAGGTTGTTGCTAATAGTGTCCGGTCAATGAATCCGAAGTGTTTTGCGTAGACAACTGTTAATAAACACCTGTATTTTCTGGATGATGGCTTTCGTAGTTCTCCAGGTTTCTGCCCCATACAATAGAGCTGTCTTGACATTCGTATTGAAAATCCTGACCTTGGTGTTGGTTGACAGTTGTTTTGAGCTCCAGATGTTCTTCAATTGTAGATAGACTTTTCCTTTGCTAATCCGCGCTTTCACATCTGCATCAGATCCACCCTGTTCATCAATGATACTGCCCAAATATGTAAAGGTTTTTACATCTTCCAAATCTTCTCCGTCAATTTTGATTGGATTGGTGCATTCTGTGTTGTATCGGAGAATTCTGCTTTTCCCTTTGTGTATATTGAGACCTATTGCTGCTGAGGCTGCTGCCACACTGTTCGTCTTCTCCTGCATTTGTCTTTGCGTTTGGGATAGAAGGGCCAGATCATCTGCGAAGTCTAGATCGTCTAACTGCACCCTAGATGTCCACGGTATCCCGTGATTCCCTTCAGATGTTGATGTCTTCATGATCCAGGAGAAAGAGAAAGGGTGAGAGTAAGCAACCTTGCCTGACGCCGGTCTTTACTTCGAACGACTTTTTCAACTGTCCTCCATGCACGATTTTGCAATTTAATCCATCATATGAATTCTGTATGATAATGACTATCTTCTGAGGCACGCCGTAGTGTCGAAGAAGCTTCCATAGTGTTGTTCTGTTGTAGTCATTACACAAGTATTATTATATCCGTTCAGCTGGATAATGGATGATACAAGCTTGCTGATGTTAACTGGATAGAAGCTGGTAAGAATTCATCGTCTCATATTCTAAATGGCGTTAGTAGTATCAATGATGTTCTTACGTTTTCGTGTAGATTCTTTTTTCATTTAATTATGAAACATTAAGATCAAAAGAGTTTGGTACTATTCAGTTGATATTCAGAATATTGATTATTCCATGTCTAATTTCTTAACGATTGTTCATTCATTACTACCTGCTTTATTTGATCATAGTTTGTGCTGCGTTTGTACATTTGTATTTCTAGAAGGATGCTAACAAAGATTTAATCAATTATTTTGAAATTCCCTGGTATGGCCGAGAGTGGGGAGAGTCAGCCATTTTCCTCAAAATACTCTCACATGGCTACGTGCATACAACCACTGCCAGGGAATTCCTCGTGGTGGGGGTGTTTTTTACGAAACTGAGAGGATGGAAAGCAAATGTCCGGCACTTTAACCGGGTTGATGGTTACGGAGGATCCACTTAGGGGAGTTAGAAAACCGTGACCCAAACCGATGGTGCACATAAGCCCCAGGATCTTGAAGGAACAAACGGCGTATGATCATAATGTTGGGGACCGGCTACTACGGGACTGCATCTCGCAACGTTGCTTCACTGCCTTGTGGATCAGACCAATAGATCAAAAGCTTCGGGTGTAGCTCCTTTAAGAAAACCACCCACTTCTGTTTGGGCACACAGCAGTATTACAGACTTCACAAAAATCGGATGATGACGTGTGGCGTGTATCTATTTTGTGGCTCCTTTTACCAATGTTTATGTGTTAAATAAATGAATTCACTTGTGATATTATGTTCCAAAACAGGAACTGGATAAATTTAAGTTGACACACACAGACCAACAATTTAATATTTCTTTAATTAACATTGTTTTAACTAAACTGTTTAACCTATTTCCTTTTAATGATAATCATTAACAGCATCTTTAAATTGATAACCTGACGAATAGAGATTTCTGTCATGAATAACAATATATCAGTTTGAAAATAAATTCTTTGACTCAGTTGTGTTGATGGTGACAAGATGGTGCAACAAGACAAAAACATCATCATCATCATCAACATTGTTGGAAAGAAATAGACCCATAAACTGAAATTGATAATTTATTCACCGACAATGACATCAATATATTTTATTGCTGAATAAAGTTAATACATGGTGTTATATAAATGTCTCTTATTACAACCCAGCTACATCTATTGATTAGTATTCTTGGACGCCAATTCACTCGATAAGTCTCCAAATTAGAACAATATTAAACAGGAACTAAATTATTCCAAATAGCCAAGGCGAATGTAAATAGGAATTACAATAAGAATAACGTTATTTATATATTTTATATGAGAAGATTCTAGAGTCTTCCGCAATTGTCCACTAGCATTGATTGGATAAGCAATAGCCAATCAACGTGCCACTATGTAATCTTGCACGGAACATGCTTAAATCCAATCTATATCCTGCTAACACAACCTGCGGTCCTTTGTTCATGTCATGACCATTGACTCCATCGATCAAAAGTATGTAACCACTCTGAAGTTATTTCATCTTTATATTCCAACCACTATTAGACTATAATTATCCATGTTTGAAGTTGCCATAATCACTTCAGAAATATGTTTTTTTAGAAACCCCATATAAGCCGTGTGCAGTATTTCTTTTGTCAGCTGCCGAAGCTATCTGACTACACTATCCTTAGTCTTTTTGGTCAAGTGTTAACTCCACAACTCACCAGTTCAAAACTAAACACAGATGATTCATAGTTTCGTTTCTAGTTGCCTTAACTGTTTCGTGAACTAGCACATATCTTATTTAAGAAACTTCATGTTTACCCGCAGATTGTAAAAGGCACACAAAGATCTAAGGCTATGTAGATAGTTATTATTTAACGTTAGATGAGAGAAATTTCGGTTTTACATTTTCATCTCGATAACTAGGCAGGATATTGTTCGGGTGTGCGTTTGGAAGCTGACTTTTAGTACCCTCAACATTCATTGTAGCCTTTTATAAAAAGAGCTCTTTATTTTTTCCTAGCTTTTATTAAGGTGTATGTGATGTGAATGAATGAGTTAGTCAGAATGTTTTTCATTATGATTCCATATCATTTCACGCGTCTCTGGAAATGCTGGTTATCCATGGGAACTCGTTATTCTCGTTATACTTCAGCGTTACTACTATGCTATTTATGGGTTGAGAAACGAGCTTAAATCTCATAGAGACGTCAGTTCTCTCAAGATTACAGGTACACCAAACCAACTGGTAGCAACTAGCACAGAAAGTGGATCCAGATATTCTTCCTGATTGCTTCCAAACACCTAATACCAAAACATATTGTACATGATATTGAATCACTTATACTAGTGTCCACATTGAAACTTACCTAACAGAATTCAATTAACATTAAGAATTAAATAAACATAACATTGCAATTAACATTAGTATGTCAGCCTTACAGGAGTTTTAGGGTTTCCTATTGATTGCTTCCAGCCACCTAGCTAGTAGTTTGTAAAGTTTCTTCTTCTTCTTCTTCGTATTCTCCTTCTTCGTCGTCTTCTTCTTCTATAAGTATCTATTAGCTCGTGCACCAATACAATTCTGCAAGGGACGGGCTTGACGACAAATGATGTTTCCTTTATTCAATATATATATATATATATATATATTGCTATTGATTCATAACTATGCCATTTACATTTTATTAATGTTTTGCAATTACTATCTATTCTAGAGACTGATATCAATAAACCAAATTCAAGAAATCTATTTAAATCTATTTGTTTATGGTTATGTGGTTTAGAAAATACTCCTTGTTCAAGATTTTCTAAACTAACTGACAAACAACAAGAAACCAATCAAGTTAGACTTAATAAAATATCTAGTCTTCATCAAGATCCTTCAGCAAAATTAGGATTACAAATTGGTCTAATCGCTATTATATGCTTAACTATTTTTGCTTATCTATTTTATTCATTATATTTTAATGAAATCAATATAGGTCCATTACCTATAATAGGTAATTTAACTTCATTACATAATCAACAATATTCGGAGTATATTACTTATTTACAAAATCAGAATATTATAATATTTCGGGAAAAATAATCATTTCAAATTCTTCTTAATCATGTTGATTCTACTTATTTATTATTATCATCATCTAAAACATCGTTTAGTTATAACTTTCTATTTTGTTATATAATGTAATACTACTAAATTGAATTAAGTACTATAATATGTGTAATGAATTGAATGATACATAGTTTGTTTTAGTTCATCGACTATTCATGAGTCGATTAAAGCTAAACTACCATAGAAAACTTCGAAGCACTGAACGACCGTTTCGTCCTAGTATAAGACTCCTCAGTAGTGCTAATCTATGATCCTTCACATGGAATTCAAACCCAAGGCTTTCAGTCTCACTCACATTTTTGATGAATTAATCAACTAAACTGTTTTAACCCTAGTAACTCGAAAATCCCCCATTCTCTCTATATATTTGTTCAAACTGTAATCATCTGAATACACAACCGATAATCCATTGCAAGCGTTTAAACATAAGTGAAGACGATTAGTTCAGTTTTAGTTTTATGGAGAGGTGAAGCGAAAAATTCACACAGTTCAGTTGTCAGAGACTCTTAGAATTATGTTATCGATAAATGATCTATTGGTTGGTGAGGTTAAACAGAAAGATTAGTCGTTGAATAATAACTAAATATCACCTTCCGAATTTACTTCAGTTTGAATTTTTGAAAAAAAAACTGTATTCATATGTAAACAACAAAATAGCCTAACTTACTTACGCCTGTTACTTCCAGTGGAGCGTAGACCGCCAACCAGCATTCTCCAACCCATTCTATCCTGGACCTTTCTTTCTAATTCTATTCAATTATTGTTCGTTCTTCTCATGTCTGTCTCCATTTGTCGGAGTGATGTGTTATTTGGTATTCCTCTTGTCTTTTGGCCTTGACGATCTCAAGTGAGGGCTTACCTTGTAACGCAGTTGAATGCTTTCCTTAATGTGTGTCCTATTCACTTCCAGCGCTTCTTCCTGATTTCCTACTCCTATGGAATCTGGTTTGGGTTGTTGCTGATAATGTCTGGTCAACGGATCCGAAGTATTTTCCGTAGGCAGTTATTAATAAGCACTTGTATTTTTTGGACGATGGCTTTCGTAGTTGTCCAAGTTTCTACCCCATACAGTAGAACTGTCTTGACATTTGAATTGAAGATCCTGACATTGATGTTGGTTGATAGTTGTTTTGAGTTCCATATGTTCTTCAATTGTAGATATGCAGCCCTTGCTTTGCTCATCTGTGCCTTACTTACAATGTGAAAGGTTTGAGCCATTATAACTAGGAGTTAGATATAAAATCAGAGGTTTCAGGGTTTACATCGTCTCGCTATCTCATGAATCTAGCATTTTTTTCAAAGAATATGACCAGATAAATTTGGCATTGAGTGTTAATTGCATTCAGATTGTTTGTAAGAAAGATTCATTGTTTCGTCTGTTAAGCTTATATTCAGTGGATTACAGGACGGTATCCGTTGTTTTATTAAGCAAAATACATTACTACTTTATATGCATTGTAGTGGTTTTGCTTCGTTAATCAATCACCTCGATAACCGTTATGATATAAATCTCAAAGATGTTTAAAATCAGAAGGAAATGAGAAGAGGCAACTACAGTTTATCTTCGGATATCGCAGATCACAAAGCTAATAAGCACGTGAGGTGAATTTGAAGCAGAGAGGTGAATAAGTATATACGAGCATATTCATAGGCGAATCTATATTCAGATTGCATAAGGGCGCAGCAAGGACTAATAATAGCGTTTGAGTTCATATATACATAGAGAGGAGGATGATATTTGGGCGATCAACATTTTAGCTAGAGTCTGTCATGTGTTTTAGTGATGCTAACTGTTGTGTTTTTCGCAAAATACTCTTCGCCGATTTGTTGTGACCTTTAGGCCAGCTAGTCGTCACGTGATTTATCCACCAATCGAAATACGACTTATTCAATATTAGCATTTCGCCAAATCAATGACAGTTGACCGGTATGAGGTGCCTAGTGTCCTTATTGGTCCCATCGACTGTGTGGTTTGTATATTTCAAACATACATTGTTTATACATAACCAGATCTAACCACATTACACAATAAAATGAAAAATAATCATTATACAAGCCAAAAGTATTTGTGAGTGTGGGATACCGTAACTAATAAATTGGGAATAGGTTAAGAATGGTAAATCGTATACCAGTAGCCAATAGGTCAAATGAAAGCAGTTACCTGTCAATTATTCTTCGCTCGAATGTATAACAAACGATTTATTTCTATTTTTAATATATTCTATTTATCAAGATAACAACTAAGTAATCTCCTTATCTAGTTTTGGTATTACATGCTAACTAATTCAATAGACAATAACTTGATAATATTTGAAGTAATTTTAATGGTTGAGATCATAAGTCAATTGAAGCTAGACCACTATAGGAAACATGGAAACACTGGACAGCCGTTTTATTCTATTGTAGGGCTCCTCCATAGTGCACATTCACGAACCCGCCCCACCAGATTCGAACCCAGAAACATATTTAAAGTCATATTTGAAACGAGAACGTTTAGAATGAATAGTAATTCACGAGAAAAATGGATTCAGTTCCTCTAACATGAGATACCGTTTCGAATTCACTAACGAAAAGTGAATAATTTAGGCCTTATTGGTCTTGTTAATTTGTCAGCTGTCGTAGCTTTGTAGCACCAAACTTGATTGTTACATACATTGAAAAAAGGTGACGTGGTCAAAAACATCGTTTCATATCACGCGCATAAATGAGACAGATATTTTAAAGAACTACTCCATTGATAGTTTACTCCTATTCTAGTTTACGTTAATTTTTAGATGTAACAGTTACTCCAAATAAAGGTAGCATCAAGAAACCAAATATTTGTAAAATGAAAAGTTTTCACTTTCTGTTATTTACGGCTTCCGCATGTTCAGTAATTTTGTAAATTAGTCGTACTCTTGTAATATTTATAGATGTTTGAATTATAGTATGAACTAGGAATCCCAAAAATAACGTAATCGGATCAAGAACTACTAGATAACCACAAACAAATGTACTGTATTTAGAATTCGAAATCAAGCATTCAACAAGTACAAAGAAATCATTAGTTCATTCAAACACCATATCCGCCAAAGCTTAAATAGGACTATGTGTCTGTAATCGATTGTACGTCTTCTTCTCAAGTTCATCCTGTGTCTGTCCGACAGTGTATTGGATAAAAACTATTATCTAGAATGCACTCATTAGTATTAGAATTAACAACCGAAATCGAAACAGACTCAACTGCTTTCATGGATTGTGTAGTCAGCATGTCGGTTGTGTACTGAAACCGCTGCTACCTAGAATTTGAACCACACACTTTTAGACTATCCACCCCCACGAAATAATGTTGTATCTTTGTATCCCAAATTTATGAATAATGTAACTTCATTTAAATCATATTTCTCACACTGGTTAGAGTATATATTAGAAGTGTTTTTGTGATAAGGATAAACAGCAGTTGATATGAAATCATCCAAATTATAATCAAAATCGAGCTTAATTTAGTACTTGTGCTTCGCATTGAACAAGTTTCCCACAAGAAACAAATGCATTATGAAGACAAATAATATTTGATATGACATCAAGATTTGATTCTTCTGAAATAGTTTCCTCGAATTTATTAAGATTGTCATTGCAGAGTAAAGGATCATTAGAAAAATCAGCATCTATCAAAACTACATCAGGTTTTCGATTACAATTATGTTCATTCAGCATATTTTCTTCAGATTTGCAAGGAATTTCATCAGAAAGATGTGAATCATTAGGAAAAACCATATTTGGTACAATAACATGAGAAGTCTGATTAGTCGATTGATTAGAAACTGTTATGTCGCAAAGATTATGAGTTTCACTTAACTCTGAACTGCTATACGACTCTACACTGTCTTTTGAAATCGTTGATAAAGATAAATCATCATTATAAATAATCGACTTAGTAGAATCAGAATCACAAGACTTAACATAAGTTGCAGCAAGATGAACAGTAGTAATACAAACTGACAGAATATGTCCAATATCATCACATTTAAAGCACTCAGAATCACGAAATTTACATGAATTAAAAAAGTGGAACTTGCCACAGGACAAGGATTGGCCAAATTTGTGCTCATCTTCATTAACTGAATCGCAACTCGTCAATGAATTATCTGCATAACCTTGAGTATGCACTGGGTTGGGATGACGTAGTAATGTAGTGAAATTTTTCATATCCTCATTAATCATTTTACTAAATCTTCCTTTACCATATTCGAAATTTGTATATTTAACATAGTCTAGCAGTAGTTCCTCGAGAGTTGTTTAAGGAAGCGAAATGGGCTTTTCCGGTAAAGCCAGAGTTTTTAGTAATCTGTATGCTTCTTTTCCAATAAATGTGAGGAAATGTGCTACAATATTAACATCCTCATCATCTTCCTTGATCATAGCCCAAATTTCTAACCTTTCAAAGTAATCCTTAAAAGCATCGAAATCTGAATGTATATCCAACAATTCCATCGCAGGTTCCATCTCGATACCAATGTAATTATCAGGAGTATTTGAATTATAGTATGAACTAGGAATCCCAAAAATAACGTAATCGGATCAAGAACTACTAGATAACTACAAACGAATGTACTGTATTTAGAATTCGAAATCGAGCATTCAACAAGTACAAAGGTATCATTAGTTCACTCAAACACCACAACTCTTATGGATTTATTCTGTATATAATGCGGATTTAATTTACTGACAAGAACAACATGGCTTATATAAGGCAGATTGATAACTCCAATTAATGTGCTGGTATCCGTAGTCCTAGTTTACTTTTCCCTTTACTACCTTTAAAGTAATGTTAAGACAATGAGTTTGAAGATGTCCGAATTAAAAGGTATATTGGCGTATGATCAGTATACAAGTTGGTTCACTGATGTCTATCAAGAATGAATTTTACCTAGATAAATTTTTAATAATTTCACCATAATATATCTGTGGAGTAAGTGGTGCTGTTGAATATAACTATTCCACAAGGCTCAAGATATGTTTATGACAC